TATTGGATTTGAGACCTGGCACATGAGGCCTTGTATCCGTAGATGTTAACCGACGTTTCGGAGGGGAAGCAAGGTTGTCGCTTGATTCTTCCTCATTTCTTGCTTAGCATATTTTCGATCCTGAAGACGGAGGAAAGAATTTTCTCCGACACGTCTGTGAATATGGCATCTTATCTCAGAAGTGAATGATCTTTAAAATTAAATTTGCTCCATGACTATTCGTGAGGGAATTGTAATACTAAATTTCATCGAAATCCGGTCAGCAACATTGGACATCAAACATGCTAACGGGCAAGCACAACCTTCCAATTATGCGTTCATTTTATGCGCTTTCTAAAATTAGCTTATAACACATGTAATAAAATATATATGTCGCTACCGAAACGTCCCTTGTGTCTACAGCAATCGGGCGAGTGGCCCTCGATTCGAGGTTAGGTTGTCTTGGGAACGACATCGCAAGCGACTCCGAAACGCATCGTATCATCAAGTCCATTCACACATTCTTCGAGAACGTGGCTGAGGTCGAACTGAGGACGCCGTTCTGGAGAGTCTGGAGTACTCCCACGTGGAAAAAATACATCGCAGCCTTGGACGCCTTCAGAGAGTAAGTGAAGTTACCATCCACTTGAACTGACACGTACTGTGCACCAGGCAATTTGGGCATCACCCTTCTTAGATAAGGAAGCACGTCATCAGATAAAAAAAATTCACCAAGCCCTATCCAATAGGCCCAACAGTTTAGGTTTCATCCGTTTGCCTCTTTCGCTGACTCATATATTGGAAATTTTCAATCGTCTCGACTTTTGGTTAAAGTAAAATGTTTCGCAAGATAGGTCTGCTTCCGTCTTCAGGTATAAGAATTAAACTTATTGTGTTAATAACATGACATTCGTCACAAACATTTGTATTAATATTATCCACAGTATCAATGTGTATTAGAAATATTGCGTGCATACGTGATATGATCCTAAACTCAGCTAAAGAACTAATGTTTCGTCTTGTTCTCTTCAGGAGCGCTCAGTAATCGCTCACCTTACATTTCTCGCTAAGTACACATAGCAGACTGCATTCATCTTGTATATGAACATCTAATGTATTGCGATAAACATTATGGAACATAAATAACGGGTAACTGGAACGTTACTGCGTTGCGAGGAACAAGAACGTGTATACCGCCCCCCCCGCCCCCTGCCGCCACACTGCTTCTCTTAAATAACTCGCACGGCGAGAAGGAAATATGCTACAAGCACTACAGCCATAAACTCTTACACAATGTTCGTAATTACATACATGTTAAATTTCTGCATGCATATTTGGGGGCACGTGGTACGGTAGTTAGTTGAGGCAGTATGCTACAGGCCGGAAGGTCGCGGGTTAGGTTCCCAGATGAGGTCATTTTCAGTTGACCTAATCCTTCCAGCCGCACTATGTCCCTGGGGTCGACTTAGCCTCTAACAGAAATGAATACTAGGAATCTACCCGGGGGTAAAGGGGTGGCCGGCGCGGAAGACTGACATCACGGCCATCTGTGAGCCGATTGTCTAGAAAATGTGGGAGCCTCGACGTCTCACAGCCCTATGGGCCTCCACGGCCTGTTACGGGGATAGCTTTACTTTTACAATACGAACTGGTTCCACCTTCTGGAAAGAACAAAAATGGGAGTGCACAGAGCAACTCTGACCCGAAGCAGTCCAGTAAGAACAAATAATGAAAATGGCCTTCCTTGTCCCTGCCCCAGGCTGTGCATGAAACAGATTGCGGAGGCGATGGACCGCTCAATCCCGGAAGAGAGCGAGAGGTCTGAAGACGACATGTCCATTGTCCAGAAGATAATTCGCAAGACTTCCAACCCCAAGATGGCGGCTGTGCTCGCGCTTGACCTGCTGCTGGTGGGGGTAGACACGGTGAGTACACTTGCCACACACCACGTGCTCTGTCCTGTGTGACCGTCTTCAGGTGAATACCAGACTCTGATGCCCTGATTCAGAAGTAAGTTCTTGAGGGCTATGCCACCGCATAATGCAGTAGACAGTCACCACTTTTAGAAGTAACCTGCTGCCTCCGTCTTCATCTTATGTGATATTCTCCCTGAAAATGAAGGCAGGATCTTACTGTGAATATAAATATTTTCTTGAAGATGGAGGCAGCAGGCTTCTCCGGAGACTGTGCGGTATCATTACATGAGAGACCACCTTACAGCAGAACAGTATGAGACGAAACGTCGGCAAGTTAGTGCACTGCGCGTATCGTGACACGGTTAGCGTTTCATTGCCTGAAAGTGAGAGGTCATATCCAGAGGTTATCTTCATAGCGTTGTGGGCAGAACTGCAATGCAATTTGTCTGACTCCGCCCTTAACTGCATGCAAAACCAACGCACGATCCGCCTCCTTCCTTATCCCTACTTACATTAGGGGTGGATCTGTAATGGAACGCGAGCAGCCGCAGTGGCACATCTGTTTCGCATGCCATCTGCTTCACAAGGCCGATAGGAGTGTCGTCCTGTCTGCAGATGTACAGCCACGCCAAGCACTTGTGGCACCCAACTGCACGGTGTAGTGGTTATCATTATGGGTTCGGAACCGTAAGGTCTCAAGTTCCTACACCAGTGCCTCTATAAAAATGTTTTCATAACTCGTCAAAATAAGCCCTAACTTCTGAGCCTCACTCTAAAGGCTCGATCTTTGCTACAAAAGCTTTCGTACTGTCAACTTCCATCTTTTTCCAGTCCTCCATGTTATCGTGTGGAATGTCGAGGAGGCAGATGTTTAAGCTATCTCCCACGAATAACGCGAACAAGCAGCAAATTTCAAACTGTCTACACTTCACATGTTCACAGATACACTGAAAAGATCCGTGGAAGTTCTTTCGTGACCTACCGCACAACCCACGACCATGCAACGCCTTAACGCTTAATAATTCTTTACTTCGGTCATCCGCAAATGCGTAGTGATCGTGAGAAAATTCATGCGCAGAAAATGTTGTATATATATATATATATATATATATATATTAGGAAACCTCCGCTAATCCGGTTACATTTGATTCAGATGTCGGATAATCCGGCTCGAAATGTGGAAATGAAAAGTTCTCTTCACAGTTGAGTACATACTTTAAAAAGACGCATGGGGTTTGGGAGCGAGAGGACTTTCAGACTGTGCTGAGGGCAGCTGGAGAGACTGAACCCGCGCAAGCAAATATCTGAGATTGGCTTTAGCTGGATGAAGGAGGCCCTGGATTTCAGCTTCTGGCAGAGGAAAAAATTGCTGCGGTGATATTTTTTTTTCATTTATTTTCATTTTCCATTTATTTGTTTTCTTTCTTTTGGCCTTTAACTTTTGCTTCATTAATCCGGATTATCGTTTAATCCAAAATGACCTCTTTCCTCCCACACCTAATCCGGATTACCGAGGCTAATCGAGGCTCTTGAGAATTGTTACCAACACACACGTGTAATTGCAGACGTCAGTATCAGTCAGCTCGTGCCTCTATCAGCTAGCAAGGAACCCAGAGAAGCAGGAAAAACTGTACAGAGAGCTCGAAAGAGTGCTACCAACTCCAGCAGCACCTGTCGATGTGAAGTGTTTGGATAAACTAACATATCTCAAGGCTTGCATAAAGGAAACACTCAGGTAAGCATGCAGCAGCTGGTTCAACCCTGTAACATTCTGAATATATCGAGACAGACAGAAACCTGAAGAAACTTCATACCATGACATTTCAATGGATTTTGTTATTTTGCAACTTCAAATAATCGTTACCCACTTTCATAAGATCAATTTTAGTGACATTCTTCCATCTATCCCTTGATCTATAGTATAATGCAATATCGTTAACAGTAGTTCCCATACAAACTTGTACGTGCCTACATATACTCGTAAACATTCCGGACCAATCCCAGAGACAATGATTGACTCAGTTCTTGTTCTGTTTCAGAATGTACCCTGTGATAATCGGCAACGGCAGAAGTCTGCAGTCAGACACTGTAATTGGAGACTACAGGATTCCGAAAGGCGTAAGATTCATTTAGATAGTGTCTTACTGTAAGGTAAGGGTGAAGCTATACGTGTAACAGGCCGTGGAGGCCCAGAGGGTTGTGCGACGTCGAGGCTCCCACATTTTCTAAACAACTGCCCAACAGATGGACGTAAGATTGTTAGCCGCCTTTTACCCTCCAGGAATATTGCAGGCACTCATTCCTGTTAGAGGCTGAGTGAACCCCAAGGCAATATTGCGGCTGGAAGAGTTAGGTAAATTGAAAAATCCAATGACTTCATCGGGACTCGAACCCGCAACCTTCTAGCTTGTAGCTTAGTGACATCTTACTGTTCTATAACTATTATGTTTCTGGACTTAACCCATTGTCCTGTTTTTGTCTAAAACACACAATGTTTCGGAGACTGGATTCTGTCTTCGTCTTCAAGTAAAACCTCAATCGAAATAGCTAGTCCCTGTCTCCGGACACCTGCACCAACACAAGATTGGATATATAAACCAAGCACAGCACGAACCATCTGCGAGAGGTAAGGCAAAAGCTTAGAGTATTAAGAACTCTACACGTATGAGGCCTAGCATCAGAGAAGTATCAGAGTACAAGTCGACTTCTCCATGGGGAGCCACATGCGTGGAGATCTTAACATTTATACAAATGGCTTGAAAGTAAGCTATTTGGGTGCAGGAGTATATAGCAAGTGTAGCTTACGCTTTCGAGATACGGCCGCATCGAATATCAAAGTTTTTCCAACGTTCTGGCAAACCCTCTTTTTTTAATCCGCTTAGTGGCGGGTGGAGTCCAACTGGGTCTAATCGGCACGGCGGCCACTGATTGGCCTATTGTACACTGCCGAGGGTGATTATGATGATGGAGAATTTGGTAGAATGAAGATTGGCAGGGGAAACCGAAATACTCGGAGAAAACCCGCCCCAGCGCCACTTTGTCCACAACAAACCCCACTTGACCAGAACCGGGATCGAACCCAGGCCGCCACGGTGGAGCTCAAGCGGTTAGTCGCTGGCTTCCCACCGCGGCGGCCCTGGTCTGGTCAAGTGGGATTTGTGGTGGACAAGGTGGCGCTGGGTAGGGTTTTCTCCGAGTACTTCGGTTTCCCCTGCCAATCTTCATTCCACCAAATTCTTCATCATCATAATCACCCGGGACAGGCTACAATAGGCCAATCAGTGGCCGCCGTACCGAGTGGACCCAGTTGGACTCCACCCCCCACTAAGCGGATTTAAAAAAAGCCGCTTGAGGTATGGCGCGGCCTTGGCAAACCTTTAAGTTCACATCTTCAGAGTTAATGCAGTTAATGTAGATCACTTGCAGGGCTTGCTCAAACGTTGGAAAAACCTTCAACATTCTACGCGACGTATTCCCGAAAAAGTTCAGGGACCAGATAGTGTAGAATTCGCACCGTTACACTCGGGAATGTCAGCGATAATTTCAAGAGACACGAAACGAATATTAACATGTGCCTCTGTCCCTCTTCATCCGCAGACGCACGTCATATTCCCGCATCTTGTGGTGAGCAACATCGAAGAGAACTTCCCCTCACCTGACAAGTTCCTGCCCGAACGTTGGCTCAAGTCCGATCAATGTCCTCTGACGGCCGGAAAGAAAATCCACCCGTTCGTGTCGCTTCCTTTCGGGTACGGGCGCCGAACGTGCATCGGGAGGCGGTTCGCTGAGGCCGAACTGAACATCCTTCTCGCCAAGGTGCGTAACGTACTTCAGTTTCCTACAGCGTCAACGTCGTCACGGCGAGGCGACCACGACTCATGTACAAAAGTGTGCATGGATGTGTCACGTGTTCGAGTGACTATAGACGGGGTTTGCACTGGCAACCGGATTTACTGAACACTTACAGAACGTAACTACAAATAACTACGGCAGTCTCACTGAGTTAAACGCTCCAAAGATCACTGTAACTACAGAACATATAAAGTCTTCTCAGTCTTCACTAGCCGTTGCTTGGTAGCGGCTTCTAACGGCGGACGTTCTCCCTTACTCCGTGTTCCCGGTCTCAGCTACCTGTTTCTCAATTCTCACAACTGACTCAACAACAATTCGAAGCCAAAATTATGTTATGACGACGGTCTGTAGGTGCCAAGCCCCACTCTGGGACCCGAGACTACATTTTTGTTACTGTCAGACAAACGCGAGTTTGTTGATGTGGGCTCCCTCTATGAGGAAAGGACAGATCTGTGGTTTGTAACTGCTGGTGGTCCTCGCCAGCATTGTCATCCTTGTACTAGTACTCCTTACATAGACCGGGGAAGAACCGAACAGAAAACACCGCACCAATTATTACGTTTTCTCTCGTTGGTGGGGAGAGAGCTGTTCCCTAGCAACGGCTTTTATACTGTTTACACAGTAATGTGTCTATTTGTCACAATATGGATGCATTTATGCACCGTGATGGTTATACTTCCATAAAGGAACGGGAAGTTGAACAAACTGAGCAGGTAACTGGGAGATCGTACGTGCACTGGCCTGTGTTTATCCGTCTCGCAGTTACATTCCCCAAACTGGCCAGTTCCTATCGATAGAGTTGACGGTCACGTTTCATTTAGAGAGTCAAGTACAGCCGCCCCTTTACATGTAGTTTGTTCCAGGCTAATCATACGCTAAAAGTCACTTTCCTCGAGCAAGGAAATCAACACATAACATTAAACATGGATACAGACCTCACTAACATTTATAATTTTTATCTGAAATGTTTTAGGACTGGTGAATACTTGTTGAAGAACAAGGGAAAATTATGTAGGGGTGAGCACTGATATAGTTTTGTAATTGGATTTTCATTGTATTTACTGTGTGCTAGTATGTCCTTCGTTGTTTGTGTCGTTTTGTGTGCTGTGTTTTGTTTGAGTGTGGTGTGTGTATTTGTGTGTTGTGTCTTATTGCAGTAGCACTACCACCGGGAAAAATCCATTTGCAGTTTAAATAAATACTATGTGGCATATGTAAATGGACTGGGTTTCTAAAAACACTATTAAGTATATATCAGAATTAATAGAATTTTATCAACATTAAATGAACACCAAAGTTAATTAAATATGTAAAATCGGTGTTAATGTGTTTGTACTTGTATCTGAAATAACTCACAGCTTACGCCATTTGTTTTTTCTTTTGCCCGCTTCTGTTTCGCGTAGCGCGAGGCAGCTAACTCAACTTCCTCTTCCGTTTGCAGATATTCCGGAAGTACCGTGCAGAATATCACTATGACGACTTCCGGTACAAGATCTGCCCTACATACATTCCTGAGAATCCTCTCAAATTCCGTCTCATCGAGAGGCAGAAACAGTGAGGGTGACGTCAAGACAACTGCGCCTTGCTTATCCCGGCAACCCGCGGCACTTCCACAACATGGCATGGCTTTCCTTTGAAATGTTTCTCTGTGTCATACAGAGCTGCGTTTAAGGAATAACGATAGATAGTCTATGTCGGTTTAACGTCATCTCTGCTCTCTGTTCGCTCCGTAGCAACGTGAGTGAGCGTAACTTGTACGCGTGTAAACTGGGCCGTCAACGCAACATAAAAGCATCTTCAAGCTGAAGGAACTGCTGAATCACAGCCGTTTATTATTATGCGAAGATGTACGCTACGTATTTCCAGTTCTTCTAGCTCATCATCAGGCGAGTTACAAGAAAAAACGAAGTTCTTGAATTGAGTTGTCTTAATATGGATCCACAATTTACAGTCTATTATTATTATTATTATTATTATTATTATTATTATAGAGAATACACCTTTTGGAGAATGTGCACTAGTACTATACGCAAAATCCTAGTAATGCGCTGTTTTTGTCTAAAATTAAAAATTAAAAAGTTTAAACTTATTATATTAGAAATGTTATTATTTAGTATTAATAAATTTATTGACGTAATTTGTCTTAAAGTTGGTTCTAAAATTATTGATGAAGTTCTTATGAGTCCTTCAGCTAAATAACTCGTCGATTTATATATTTAGTTCTAAGTTTATTTTTAAAAGTATATTTTAAGAGTAAGCTAAAACCATAAATCATAAAGGGTTTGAATTGTATTTGAGAGGTGCGGGGTTAGAATCTCCGTAAGGGCAACGTCTATCATTCTATCCTGAGTCAGATATTCCGTGGTCTTCCTCAGTACCTGGAGGTAAATTCTTAAATTAAACGCTATCCGCTTGTCATGTTTCTTTTACAATGTCATTCTTTGTTATCATCAAATCGCTTGACGGTGTACACTTTGTGTTAGTGACAGTGTCGTTAAATGGTGTACAGTTGAACCTCGGTAATACGGACAGACCCTAAATCTAACTGACTTATAATACATAGTACCAGAACGGAGACCTTCAACTTAATCTGACAATTTTACTCTCTTGAAGTAGAAATGAATTCATATGAAACAGGACTTCACATGTTAATGGACCCGCCTCTCAAGGTGGTGAGAGATGTGATCCCGTTACTGCCCGGCCTGTAGTCGAACGTCCGTGGGTTCAGGTCCTTGTTTATATATAAACTGTACCTTTAAATTTTTTGCATAAATAATTTTACCAAAAGATCTAACTTTTTATTTCCAATCCAGTAATCCGAACGATTCGATATTCCGAACACACCAGTGCTTTAATTGGTTCGGACTGCCGAAATGTCACTGTATAAACACCTATATATATTATCACGTGACTGAGTGATTATAGACGGGGATTGGATTGGAAATCGGATTTATTGAACACTTTAGAACTCGTAGCTACAAATAACAGTCTCACTGAGTTCGACACTCCAAAGATCATTGTAACTACAGCACACATAAAGTCTTCTCAATCTTCATTAGCCGTTGCTTTGTAGCGGCTTCAAGGGCGGACGTTGCTCTTCCTCTGGGTTCCTGAACTCTCCCTAGCCTCGGATACCAGCTTCTCACATCTCATAACTGTAATTCTCAACTGACTCAACTGAACTACTACTCCTCCTGATATAGCCCCGGCACGGACCACACAGAAAACGTCTCTTCCATCATTGCGTGTTCTCTCGTTGCCGGGGAAATAACGTGTCCAGACAGCTGTTACCTAGTAACAACTGTTGTACTATTGCATGTTTACAAAGCTGTTACTTGGCAATGGGTCTACATGTCACAATGTATACATATGTACATACACCATGCACATCTAACTCATCCCGTAAATGCAGGCCAACACAGATAACATACGAGTACGTGTGTGGGTTGCACATTCACAGGTTTTACGGTTCAACCATAAAATAGACCGAAAAGGAGTTCTCTCCACGGCCAGTGCTTGCTGCAGAAGTGTTGGCCGTAAGCCAAGTACGAGTAGCAGCAACTTCGTTCTGGGATGAAGTCGGTCGGTAACTGCAGCCTCCTGTAATCCAGTCATATCTCTCCGAGGCTCCGTCCTTACGGAACAAAAGTTCTCATTTTCAACGAGACCTCCAGTACATGGCAAATATGGTCCTCGCTCCGGGTGGAAAATAGAATACAGAAGCTCTGTAATGATGATGTAATGGTTTTCGTCACTATCTGATAACGGCAAACCACCTTAGACACGGTATGCAACTCAGATTTCAGCGGAAGTATCCACATGCAGGGCGCACCCTGTTCAGAACGACCACGCAAAACAAAGCGACAACATTAGTCAGAGTTCTAAGGCTGAGGATTTAACTATCAGTCCAAGGCTCCCAGCGAAAAACAGGCGCAATACACAGACAGCTGATATTATCATACATGCGTATGAGATATTCTAAAGGGTTCTGACGATGGCGCATAACACTCAGGATTACGGAGTTCTTGGACTTTGTCCATCGTCCGGTGTCCTAAGAACTAGAGAACACGACGTTTCGGAATCTGTTTCCGTCCTCGGGTGAATGGGAGATACCTACTCTGTTGGGTCAGTTAGAAAGAGCTAACCTCAATCACTGGGAAACCCAAGTCAGTATAACTACAGATATATATACATAACTCTGACGTTTTGTCAATGGGAGGTAAGAGAAAAATGCGCAACAAAAAATGTGATAAATACCTGAAACTAAGATAGAAAGGAGGCGAAAGTTTTGTGCAACAAACCCAGCCGACAAGCCGTGTCCATGAAAACCAATGCAAAAGATTAAATGCGGTTGAGTTCTCTAGTAGCTTGAATACCGCGAGATGGACAAATGCAAGTAGTTACTATAGGATTCTGACTGTGGTGCATAACGCACAAAGATATTGGGTTTTCGGACTTTATCCATCTTCCTGGTTTTTAAGATAACTAAGAAAAACACGACATTTCGGAAAATGGATCTGTTTCCGTCCTTAGGTGAGGGAAACACCTATTCTGTTGGGTCCCTTAAAAAGAGCTAGCCTCAATCACTGGACAAACCAATGTCATAAAGCACTAAGGTTATAAATACCTGAGACCAGGCAAAGTCCATGAGAGCTAATAAGAAAAATAGTTACAAATTGTTGCAAACACGTACAAGCGTGGAACCAAGAATGATAGATCTGTACAAATTTATGCCACGAAACCAAACTCATAACCAAGTCCATGACCCCACGGCATGGAATAGAAAGAAGAACTAGTAACAAAAACTAATAGTGTCTAACTAGTGTCAACAGTGGAGTAAATAACGTCTATCTAATTTAGAACTTAATAGAAATAAATAAAAGCATATATTACGTCATACAGATCTTCTATGTGAATTGGTGACTTCATTGCTGATAATGGGGATCCAAATGGGAGAAAAGTCCAAACTGGGTTGGCTAATTGGGTTCGCCGAGCATGCCATATGGGCCGCTTCCTTGTATTTCCTATACATCAGGTATAGAAAATAAGATATTGGAGATAAGTTACTCTGACACGGTCTCATGATTTTCCTCAGTCCATCCAGACAAATTTCGGGATATCTCAAATTTTGCCAAGGCGCTTCCTTGCACATCATTTAAAATTCATTGAACTACCTAATATTCGACACTAAGTAACCTGAGCTATTAACAGTGTCGTTAAAATCACAAGGATACGTTAGGTGAAGGGTACAAAGGTTGAATCTTCTCGTTAAGTAACTTGGTTATTATTTCCGAAGCTATAAGCTCCGCGTCTTACATCAACAGACTGCAGGATGGGTCGCTCCTCGCGGGCACACTTTAACCTGATTTTCATCTGAACGTTGTTCAAACTTCGGCTTCTATTCAATCTGAACGTTGTTTTCGCGGAAGCGGATCCAATCCAAGCGGTCGCTGAGCATCACAAGTCATTACCAGAGGTTTACCCCCCTCTCTTTCATTCTCCCCGGTGCCCCGCACAGATCCTCGCTTCAACACCAGAGGGAAACCTTTTGCACGAAAACCAAGGAAATACAGGCACATTGAAAAACGTGCTTCAATCTCACTCCTCCCTCAAAACCCTTTGAAGAGTGAGTCAGAGTCAGTGTTACTTTACCATTGGAGGTTTACCGCCAATCAGTTCGTCTCGGAAAATTGTTCTAAATAATATTAAATCCAGTCCATACCTCACAGGAAACACACTACATCTCCGCTACAAAGCCCAACCGGTTAATGCTGTTTGGGGAAACAGTCGCTGTTTACTGTGAGAACCATGCGGAACACACAGATACACTCTGTGGGCAGAATGCAGTATATATGCGAATTCAGTCCGTACCTCACAGGAAACACTAGGTCTCCACTACAGAGCCCAACCGGTTAATGCTGTGTAGGGAAACAGTCGCTCTTTACTGTGAGAACCACACGGAACACACAGATACACTCTGTGGGCAGAATGCAGTGTATATGAGAATTCAGTCCTTACCTCACAGGAAACATTACGTCTCCGCGACAGAGCCCAACCGGTTAATGCTGTTTAGGGAAACAGTCGCTGTTTATTGTGAGAACCATACGGAACACACAGATACACTCTGTGGGCAGAATGCAGTATATATGCGAATTCAGTCCGTACCTCACAGGAAACACTAGGTCTCCACTACAGAGCCCAACCGGTTAATGCTGTGTAGGGAAACAGTCGCTCTTTACTGTGAGAACCACACGGAACACACAGATACACTCTGTGGGCAGAATGCAGTGTATATGAGAATTCAGTCCTTACCTCACAGGAAACATTACGTCTCCGCGACAGAGCCCAACCGGTTAATGCTGTGCAGGGAAACAGTCGCTGTTTATTGTGAGAGCCATACGGAACACACAGATACCCTCTGTGGGCAGAATGCAGTATATATGCGAATTCAGTCCGTACCTCACAGGAAACATTACGTCTCCGCGACAGAGCCCAACCGGTTACTGCTGTGTAGGGAAACAGTCGCTGTTTACTGTGAGAACCGTACGTAATGTTAAGATTCATCTCCGCCAGAAGCTCAAACCTCGTATTTCTCTCTCATTTATTATCATCACGACGAGAGTCACTGGTGAGAACTGTTCTTAATGCTACATGATGCTCACCCTTCTTCACGACGGTTCCTAAACCTCATTATGTTGTTGCCATGCGGGCGCTACAGCCCTACTCAGCCTCAGATAAAACGTGTGCCCAAGTCCACTAAAATAAAAAGAATTTATTTTCCGGGGGATTCGACTTCGTTTCAGATTTCTACATTAAATTGTAGGAAAATGGATAAGTAGTTCAATAAACACAGGGAAATATAAACTGGATTTCAGAAGCAAAAACACTCAGGTAGGCTGCTTCACATGAAATATGGATTCAGAGCTCTTATCTCTTGCTGTGTTCTTACTGTGTTTCGCGGGCTGCAGTAGCACAATTACACGTAACGAGCTCAGTGACATCTGGGTAAACCCAAGGGAATCACACTCCAGGACAACAGAAACA